AGGACCATGTTAGATGGCACACAAAAGCATGTACAAGAATCCTTATAGCAGCTTTATTTGTAATAGCCCAAAGCTGGAAATGACCCAGATGTTCTTCAGCAGATGAATGGTTAAACAACAGTGGTACATACATCCATGTCATGGAATACTGTTTAGCAATAAAAATAAAGTATTCATACACACAACAACCTGGATTAATCTCCAGAGAATTCTGCTGAGTAAACAACACCAATCTCAAAACGCTACATACTGTATGATCCCATTTATTTAATATTCTTGAAATGAAATGACAAAAGTCTAGGAATGGAGAATAAATCAGTAGTTGCCAGGGGCTTAGAAGGGAATGAGGGCAGGAGGGAAGTAGGCGTGGCTATTAAAGGGCCACATAAGGTGGTCCTTATAATGATGGAAAATTTATCGTGTCAGTATCAATGTCAATATCCTGGTTATACTGTAGTTTTGCAAGATGTTATCTTTGGGAGAAAATGAATAAAGGGAACGTGGCATCTCTCTATTATTTCTTACAACTGCAGGTGAATGTACAATTATCTCAAAATAATAGTTTAATTTTTTACAAAGAAAGAAAAAATGCTCCAGTGCATGTATACACATCACTTATGAGCTGTATCCTATAAATTAACTTTTGTGTTGACCTCCAAATGAATGCCTTTTCAGACCGAGATGCCAGTTATGAAAAAAATGCAAATAATTCTCATTTACTTTGGACGTCCAAGAAGACAAAAAGAGAAGTTGAAATACCGAGAAACAAAATGACCTCAGGTAATGTGTAATGAAATAAATTTCCTGCCCTAAAGGATGCACAAGACTGAATTAATGCTGAGATGTGTCATCATAACAGGTACCCAATAAATATTTATTGCATTCTATTTTGTCTGATCTTAATACTGCAGTCTTTGCTTTTACTTTATAAATATTTATTTTCTTGATATGCCTTTGGCCACCCTCTTTTCACATATGTCCAAATAAATGACAAAGTTTTTTTCCCACAAAATGCTACACCATAAAAGAGAGGCTTCTTAAAGTCCTTGCAAAGTCTTTCAAATTGTGGTGTTCTCTCTCACTTGTTTTTTTAAACTTTGAAAAACAAATACCATTTGGGGAAGATGCATTAGCCTAAAATGACCTCAATCAATATCAGTGTTGGATTATTATAGCGATCACCTGATAGAATGGGTGAAAAAAGAGACAAATTTAAAGTGGATCTAGTGATTATTCTTAGGAGTAGGACCTCACAACTTCAAATGTTAGATGCCCTTATAAACAAGCCTTTTATCCCTTAAAAAAGCTGGACAAGGCGAGAGATGTTTATAAACCAAAGTGAGCAGGGTTACTTTCATTATATGGAGCAAAGGGAAGTCCTGGAGCAGGGTTATGTAACTTGTACTGAGCAGGCAAGTGCTGACTGATTGACCCAGGCCTGCCTTCTCTGGGAGAGCCCATCATAGAAACTTCCTTAAGTTTTGGTTTGCCGAAGTGGGGCTTAGTATGAATGACTCCATCTTGGGCCTAATCTGGTTATTTTAACACCAATAAGCCATATTTTAGCAAATTAAAACATAGGATCAATTGCTATATATCCTCCATATCTTTCCTGTCATTCTTTTAAATAAAAATAATGGGTTTCCTATTTATCACTCTTTCTGTTGCATTCTGAGAGAATGCCTGACATTTACCCTCCACATCAGTTCTGTTATGTATTACCTCCACTGTGGATTTTAATTTTCTGCAGCATTTTTAGTTTTCTTGAAATCCTTTAATACCATTAATTTCTCTTTTAATCTGTCTCATTCTTATACATTTTTAGCTTCAGTTGATTTATCTTTAAGACCTTACACATTTTTAGCTTCAGTTGATTTATCTTTAAGACCTTCTGTTTCTATTAAGAATGTTAAATAGCTTTCGGAAATTTTTTTTTTTCTGTTGATAATTTTCAGAGATATAATTTCCTCTGAGTCTTGTGGATTCAGTTCCCAGGTTCTATGATGTCCATGGGCTCCCTTTTGGTTTTGGTTTTTTCCTTATCTTTTAAGGCAAGATCTGTTCAAGCACAATGTTTGTCTGGATACTGAGGAGTTGAGTCACTCTTAGTTCAGCAGCCTGTTGTTGGCTTATGTAGTGATCACAACCCCTCTCCAGATCTGCGGTTCAAGGGCAGGTCAGTTCCCTATTCTCAGCAAGCTATTGACCTAATAACCCTAATCCGAGGTGACATTTTCCTCAACTCAACATACATTGCTTTAATTTAACATTGTTAAATATAATTACACCCATTCTCCAGTTGAGAAAATCATGGCTTCATAGTTATAGTAAAAGGCAAACCAGCTCTGGACCCCAGGTCTTTTGACTCACTCAGCATCCAGTTTCTTCTACCCTCCATCCTGTTTGCCTTGCTAGAAACACATGGTAATGGTCAGAAGATTATCTCAGGACTCTGTCCTCCCCCAGCAGCAGTATGAATGACTCCATCTTGGGCCTAATTGTTGCAGCTGCAGTGATTCTGCTGCTAAATATACATGTCAGTGCTGTGAACAACAGAGAGTGTTACAAGAAAAGATAGAGAGGGCAAAGGAGGCTTGCTGTAGCCAGGTACGTTTTAGTGGCCTCGATGCTCATGCCTTGAAAGAAGTCAACCTAAGTTAATAGCAAGCAGGCATGTTGACACACTGATATTGCCTTCAGAGTATGGTTTTCTTACTGGAAAATGTGGAAGGAGAATGAAAGTAGTAATGGTGACCTGGCAAAATGTTGTAAATGATCATTTTGTAAAAGTTTCAGAAGTATGCTCTGATTTATTAATAATGAGCTCCTCCTTTTGCTAAAATTATGACATGGGTATTTCTGCAGTCATGTTTATATACTGGCAACTTTATGATTGATTTGATTTAATATTTATTTTTATATCAAGGGTTGTTGAAGAGTAAGCAAAGGGATTACACGTTAGTGATTTGTAATGCTTCAGCTTCAGAATTCTAATTTGTCTACAGATTTTTCAACAGTGGGAAATGATCACTCTGGTTTCCTACATAAAACAATCTGCATTTTTAACCAAGAATAAGACATTCGCAAATAAAATAGGAAGAAATATTTCTATCCTAGGCTTTTACTTGAACTTAATATAAGTTCTATTTTCTACAGGAGCCACTCATCTGTCAACCACATGTCACCAACCTGCTTATGCTAACCTTGTAAGTACTTAGCTTCACAGTACACATCTTGGAATATTATTCTCTTTCTCATCCTTTGTGGGTCCTGCCAGAACTCTGCTCTGTCTCACAGAGTGCTCTGAATAATAGTTTTCTAATAAAGAAAGGAAAGTACGTTAGTGCAGGAAAGAGTCAGGTTTAATGGATACATTATTAAAGACATTTTTAAAGCCTATCTTTGGCTTTCTTTTTGGTATAGTTCATTTGTTGTTTGTTTGTTTGTTTACTCCCTGCTTTATTCCAAAAAGGACTTACAGCATCTTACAAAAATAAATGCAATGCAATAAAATTTTAAAACTTTAAGGAAAAAGAAAGAAATCTGAGTGAAAGGAAAATAAAGATAGAAACTCTGCATAACGTATAAAATTTCACCTTCAAGAAATTTCTCAGCCTGTTTACCTTTGTGTACTACATAGAAATGTTTTAGTGGATGTCTAAATATAGATTTACAACTACTTGATCCACTGCAAAAATAATAAGTGTTTTATCAGTATAAAAAAGGACAGGGATGAAATAAAAATCCCTTAAGTCAACATTTCTCAAACAATGTTCTGCAGAATAACAACCAACATTGCTGAAAGTGTTGTGATAAGGAAAGGAAACACACGTTTTTGAGTGTAGGACTTGTCAGTGCCTTTAAATGCCCCAAACCTAACTTCTCACATCTTCACCACTATGACCCCAGTCTAAGCCACCATCATCTCCCATCTGAATTTTGCATCTATCCCCTACTAACCTCCTTGCTTCAGCCCTTGGCCCCTTTCTATCAGTTCTCATCACAACAGTCAGAGGAGCCTTCACAACAGAAGTCAGATCATGCTACTGCTCCTCAAAGCCCCCCCATATCTTCCCTTCTCATTCAAAGTGAAATCACACTCTTCTCAATTGCCTGACATATGACATGCTCTCTCACCCCCATCCCTCATTCCCGCCCCACCCCCAGGATCTTTTTTATCTCTTCTCCTATCCGTTTTGCTCATCTAGCCTCCTTGATCTTCTTCAAACAAAACCAGTAGGCTGTGGCCTCCGGGCCTTTGCGCTTCTCAAAAGTTCTTCGCCAACATAACGACAGAGCTTTCTCTCTCCCTTTATTCAATTCTCAGTAAAAATGCCCTTTCCTGACATCTGAGCACCCTCTCTGAAATACACGCTTTCTCTGTTTACCCTAATTTTTTTTTCTTCATGGCACTTTTTGAGTACATGATATATAATTTGTCTCTCTGTCTCCACCACTAAAATGGACACTCCATGAGGGCAAGAACGTGGCTCGTTTTGTTCATTGCTATATCCCCAGTTCCCCAGGACACTGCTTAGCACATGGTAGATGTTTAGTTATAATTTATGGAATGGTTGACAATAACTACACTAAGGTAAATTGTGAATCTTAAAGAGGATAATATAGAATGCTGCCTTCTCGAAACTGTTTGAGCACAGAACCTGTTTGAGAGAAATGCCCGTTAATATCTCATGGGATGTGGGGTCTCCAGAGCAATTTTGGAAACACTGCTTTGATTTTCATTATTTGGTAAAATCAAATTTAATCTTTTCCTTTGCATATTTTCATCTTTTAGTCCAAGACCCTATGCCATTCTGTCAGCCCATTTCCTTCAGCACTACCCAAAGTCATGCAGCAGAGAGTATCAGTCACATCGGTACCTACCAGCCCACCTCTCCCTGTGATAGCAGAGCTCACCAGGCCTCCATCTGTTACACATGCTGAAAAAGCTCTCATGGAAATAACTTCAAGCCCCGCAGAGGACTCACATTCAGATGCCTTTGTCACTCATCTACAAGCATCATTTCAGAATGTATCTGCTCAGGTAAATACAGAACTGGATATCTCTGTGACACTGGAAAATACTTTTATTCTGTTTTTCTACTTAGGTGATGCATCACGAATAGCAATGCTAGAAGAAGCCTAGTTCACCCTTTACCTCTGAGCAGAACTATTCCTGAGAATGCCTGACAGACAAGCATATATCCCAGTTAAAAGCAAAACCAAAACAAGCCCATGAAAATATTCCACAGTGGGTTTTATACCCATTTCAGTATTGAATGCCTTATTATTATTTAATGCTATTATATTTAGTACTTCAAATGGGGAGGAACCTTTGTTCACCGGCCCCACTTTTTCAGCAGCAGCAAACCCCCTGGACAACTCCTCCTACTCACCATCTCAACTCCCTTTCACCTTTGTTCCCTTTTTCCCCACAAACTGAAGAAAAAAGGCAACAGCCACAGTGTTGACTGAAGAAAATCATCCTGCTTCTCCCATCTGTTTTGTTTCAACACAAGCCCTCCTTATACATAGTGTAACGTTTCCCTGCTAGAAAAGAATCCTGTTTACCCTCGAGCTGCTTTCACTGGTAATGGAAACTAGATGTTCACCATTGTCTCAGCTAGCTGTTGTGTTCTTCTGCGGGGAGGCGGGGGAACCAACCTACAGTGGCTTAAACAAAGAGTGTTTGTTTGAGAGAAATAGAGAGAAATCTGAAGTGTAGAATACCCAAAAGAGTCTACAGATAAATTCTTAGGAATATTAAGAGAATTTAGCAGTGGTGCTGAATATCAGATCAGTATACTAAAGTTAGTTGTATTATTACATATCAGCAACAATCAGAAAATTAGATTTGTTTAAAAAAGATATAATAGCAAGTACCTAGGTGTAAATCTAACCAAAGATATGTAAAATTTCTGTGGAGACAACTATAAGTCTTGTTTAAGAGACATTAAAGAAAGGCTAAGTAAATGGTGAGACCTACTATGATTCAGCCCATGTTACACGTTCTGCTCTAAAATACAAATAAGGCGTCCTCAGTGACCTGCTGGGTGTAGCTAGAATGGCATTCAGTAAGACCTGACCTCTACTGGCAAATGTGCAGTGTCTCGTATCTTCATTCCTTCTTATTTGCATCTCAGTCCCAAAGTATAAAACCAAAATTGGGTGGTCCTCAATTCTAAGATCTCTCTATAGCTGATCCAACCTCCTACACACCCTGTGAATCAGGAATAACCCTATTCAATTGGATGGTCCACGAGGGCGAGATCATAACTGACTTTAACTGCTCCAACTTGTGAGCGTAGCAGTATACAGTAGACATTTAATAAAGACTTACTGAATACATGATTGAATTAAGCTGTAAGTGGGCTGTTCTCTGGAAATCGGACCAAGAAGTTGGCATAAACAGATTTATCTCAGGGTTGGACTTCCAGTTCAAAAGAAGTAGCCCCTTAAGCTTTGGGACCATGTCCAATGTTCTAGGTTGGTTTTCTCAGAGGTTTTCTGCCTCCCACCTCCTGTCATGTGGTATTTCAAGTACTTCCCTCTTGAACGTAAACTCTTGGATTGAGGAAGATAAACACAGTGGGAAACCCAGGGCGATAAACATACATACTTCTGAATAGAAAAGTTTGTTTTTGTGGTTTTGATTCCCAGGTTTTCCTCACTTTTGATCATGGCCGTAGACTTAAACTTACTCTTATAAATCTTATTTCCAGATTCATTTGTCCTTGAATCAATCATTATATAACCTTGTTATCCATTTTCTCTATTGTATGGAAGAGGTGAAAATAAAGTCTATTTGCAGAAAAGCTTCTGAAAGTACTAACTTAGGGAGAGCCTGTGATTCATAGAGCTTGTAATGTCATCAAAGGTCAGCTCTAGTTAAACAATGTCTCAAACTACTAAAGTGCAAAGATTGTATATAAATAATTTTTTTTAAGATTTTATTGGGGAGTTGGGGGAGGGGAACAGTGTTGGGGAATTGGGAAAGGGGACCAGCCAAGTTGTTGTTCTTCAATCTTTGTTGTGGAG